CAAAGACATGTGGGTGAAATGGGTAGGCTAAATTGTCCATAGTGTATGTGTGTGAATGAGTGTGTGTGGATGTGTCCCAGAGATGGGTTGCGGCTGTAAGGGCATCTGCTGCATAAAAACGTGCTGGATAAGTTGTCGGTTCATTCCGCTGTGGCGACCCCAGATTAATAAAGGGACTAAGCTGACAAGAAAATGAATGAATAAACAAAATTTAATAAGAAAATTAGTCTAAAAATGCCAGGTTGTTGTAATCCAACACTGGGTGGAGTATTAAATTAAAATCTGAAATCGATTTGTCCATTTGACACAAAGTTAGGTTATGACAACCCATAATTTTTTACAGAGTAATGATGTTACATAATTAGGTCAGGATACAAAACACTTTTCTTAATGTAAATAAATGGAAGGCAAAATAATAAACCTTAAAACCAATTAATGTAACACTATTAATGACATTAAGTAGATCACAGAACACAAAAGTAGAGATGTACTGATATTAAAATTCTGACAGATAAGTGATATGATTGAAATTCTGTCTTAATAATTGAAAATACAACATTAATACCTAAAAGTCACATTGTGGTAGTAATAATGTATCTGGATACAAACCAAAAAAATGAATAAATAAAAATAAAAAATAGAAGTGTCGCAATATTAAAATTCTAGCTGAAAATTGGCGTCATGCAAAGACGGATATTTAAATTCTGTATTATTTTAGTTAGCCACAAACTGTTGCCCACTGCCAGACTTTAAAAAAGGGCACCTAAAACAAAAATTACATTATTACACGTACAATAATCAAAACGATAACAAGAGTTTAATAAAAAGCAAAAAAAAAAAAGAATTTTATTAGCCATTTCTTTAACTTGTATTTAAATGTTGAAAAACTTGTAATAATCCTTCATTCAACAGGATGTGTATTACATAACTGACTGAAAAGACTGACCATGCAAAAGTAGTACGTCTAAACTGCACAGCTCAGTCTCCTTTAGTAATAGATCACTTTGCTTTGCCATTATTCTTCTTCTGTCACAAACTCACATGATGAATGTGGAGCGTATATAAGATTTCATACACTTTCCTGCAGTGTATCAACAGAGAACCAATAGCAACTCCGAATAAGATGACGCAATCCATGCAACAATTCAAATGATCGCAGGGAAATGTCAAAAAGATTTTTCTTCCTGTTTTCTTATTGAGACACGCCGTGTGCAAAATTGCTGTTATAGATTGTTTACGTTTACTCTAAGGAACAATTTCAGAACACAGGATAGTAAAAGTGTCACATGTGGATGACGTCAAACTCCGGGGGCGTTTTCTTTCATGCTTAGCGTTTCTTCATTGTCGTTCAGTCTGACTTTATGACAGCTGAGATTTTACAGAGTGACAAAATGAATGAATGAACAAATGTAATAGTTACAAGTGAAGATAAAAGGTTCAAACATTTATCAAAATTATACACTGATATAATCTTTTTAACGTTGTATGATTGGAGTCAGACAAAACGAAAGATAAATATATTATTGTTCTAAATCACTTCATATTCAAATTGGAATCAGATATGTGTTAAATTTGAAGTAAATCAACATTGTCCACTGAAAAGACCGAACAGGCAGTGAACCTTTATACACCAGTGGACACCTCCATTGGGCCAACTGGGTGGACCTTACACTACAAAATAAATGGCAGATTTAATTCATATGCATGAGCATTTACAAAATCCATAATGAATCAATAATTCCAATAATAATTAGAAATCAAAACAAACAAATTAACAAATACATAAATAAATAAATAAATAAATGTTGGTAGTAGAGAACTATTCATACTGCCACATACAAATGACCATTCCTATTTTAAGACATTTAATGACCACACTCATAAAAAACGCATCTTAAACTGACATCAGAAGGGCAGAAATGCCTTGGTGTTGTCGATTTAATCACACACATACAGTACAAAACACGAACACACGCACACGCATGCACGCACGCACGCACGCACGCACGCACGCACGCACGCACGCACGCACGCACGCACGCACGCACGCACGCACGCACGCACGCACGCACACACACACACACACACACACACACACACACACACCTCATGCTTCTTAACAAACTACTTGCTACTCAGAGATTATTTGCATGTACTATTTTCATTGCTCATAGCCTCTGGGGTCTAAAGCTCATAATCATCGCCCTGTAGAATAAGATCAAAATCACTACTATCAAATGATAATGAAGCAACGAGTCCTGTAAATGGGCGAGGAATTGATGGCTCAATTAGATTCTTTTGTGTCTAGGGATGAGAAATAAGGGACGTTAATACATGCACGAGTGTGGCAGCTAATAGCAACTCAGGGAAATGTAAGACGTAAAATATGAAAAGCAGCATCTTGGTGATTATGGAGGAAACAAGAGACGCTTTGTACTATCACAAATGCTTTGATGTAGACATTTAAATATAGTATTTAGAGAGACAAGCTGGGTGATGCGGACTAACAGATACAAAGGGAGAAATATTTGATCTGCAGTGTTCTCAAGACAAATTATTTCCGAAGGTCAAGAGCCTAATGTTGCTGTCTGTAATATTTGGCTGTCAAAATGAACACACATCCGAGATTTTGTATTCCACTAAAGGACTAAAATATCCCCTTTCATTATAGGACTCAGTGAGCAAAGCGTTTGATTCAGAAATTGAGTAAGTGTCTGATGTAATTCATATACATAACCTCTAAAAAGTGCGCCTGTGCCTCCGAGGTAAAAACTCTGGGATAAATTCAGCGAGGCTGAATATCCTGAATGCCGCCTGCAACATTTTTAATGAATAATTCGATGAATAAAATCGTACAAATCAGGTAATCAGGCAGTCATGCAGATAATGTTTTCCTTTGTCGTCATCGGCAATGACACGAATGTCTTTGAGCTTGTAAACAGACTGAAATTGCACCCAAATTGGAACAAATGAAATTGCATCAAATGTTCAAATAAGAACAATCCAAATATGCTAAATCATGTTTAGCTTCACTGTAATGAGCCTTCAGATAGTTTTTTGTTTTGTTTGAGTTTCACATCTTTAAGCCGGGAACAGATTGCATTATTTTTAAAACTCCTTTTTTCTCCCTACAATGGAAAGATTTGTTTGTGTGTGCTAAATGTACTACATGATGTTTTTTATTCTTATTAAATTGGTAGAGTTCATAATAACTGATTGGCTATTACAGTATATGATATTGGATACATCTACTGTGTGTACATCTACAAAAATGATTCAATTCAATTCATGTTAATTTCTATAGTGCTTTTACAATATAGTATGTGTCAAAGCAGCGTAACATAGAAGTTCTAGTAAAATTGAAACCGTGTCAGTCCAGTTTTCAGCGTTGAAGTTCAGGTTAGTGTGATTTCATTTCATTGCTGAAAGTCCAAACACTGAAGAACAAATCCATCGATGCGCAGCTAAACAAGTCCCAAACGAAGCAAGCCAGTGGCAAGCAACAAAACTTCACCAGTTGATGAAAGTAAAGGAATAAAACCCTCGAGAGAAACCAGGCTCAGTGGGGCACAACCATTTCTCTTCTGGCCAAACTATTTGTGCAGAGCTGCAGTCTAGGACCCAGAGGCTAGAGAACGCTGGATGTCCATCGTGCAGAACTTCAGGTGTGAGTAGGTCACTAGCAGGTGATCAAGCTGGCCCACGGGATCAATGTGAAGACTCGACTGTCACTGAATCATCCTCAGCTAAATTTTGATTCATACTACACTAAAACTATACTGAAATATATACAGTTGAAGTCAGAATTAATAGCCCCCCTGTATTATTAGCGCCCTTGTTTATTTTTTTCCCCAATTTCTGTTTAATAGAGGGAAGATTGTTTCAGCACATTTCTAAACATAATAGTTTTAAAAACTTATTTCTAATAACTAATTTATTTTATCTTTGTCATGATGCCAGTTAATAATATTTTGCTTGATATTTTTCAAGACACTTCTATGCAGCTTAAAGTGACATTAAAAGGCTTAACTAGGTTAATAAGGTGAACTAGGCAGGTTTGGGTAATTAGGCAAGTTATTGTATGATGATGGTTTGTTCTGTAGACTATCGAAAAAAAATTAGCTTAAAGGGGCTAATAATTATGTCCCAAAAATGTTTTTAAAAAAATTAATAACTGCTTTTATTCTTGCCGAAATAAAACAAATAAGACTTTCTTCAGAAGAAAAAATATTATCCGACATAATGTGAAAATGTCAATGCTCTGTTAAACATCATTTGGGAAATATTTAAAAAAGAAAATAAAAATGAAAAGGGGGCTAATAATTCTGACTTCAACTGTATTTCATGAGTTCACACCTATATTTGACTAAATATTTTTTTTTTAACTGAAGGAAAAGACAATTTACATACAGAACAACAATAACCATTAAAGTTAAAACTGCAACATTTTTTTCTGTTACACTGTTCCTAATGTATACCCAAAGGTTTTTTTAAAAAATGTTTTATTATGTCTTGTAAAGATATCTGTGTTTTTGAAACTAATGAAGAAAACTTTTAATTTTTGAGTTTTTTTTTAATTATTTATTTTGATCATGTTTACTGCTCCAAAATTGTATAAATATTTTCAAAAATAAATTATATTGTGTTCAATGATTTTTTTTTTTTTTTTTTTTTTACGCAGACATTTATGAAGAACTTATTTTAGAGCAGTAATCGCAATACTGGTATACCGTGCAACCGTGATATTTTTATCCAAGGTTATTACACCGTCAGAAACCAATGCAATCTCACGGCAATTCGTAACTTTTTGATTTAGTGGCCAATTCGTACAATCTAATTCATACAATTTAGTATGATTTGCTCATCCCCTAAGGACGGTTGGGGTTAGGGGTGGGATTGGGTGCCACACCTCCTTTTTAAAATTATACATTTTTGTACAACTGAACTCGTCTGAATTCGTACAAATTAGCCACTAAATTCACAAAACGTAAAATACTTACGTTTCCTCGAGAGATCAGGCTGCAGAAACTTATACCGGCCCATGCCTAGTCTGGATTCATGTCATAACATAACAGTGACGATGGAGATAAAATACATTTTTGTCATGCTGTCCAGGGAAAAGGCTCCAAGCTGGGAAAGACCCTCTAATTCGTGTTATTCCCCTTGTAAGAAGATTAAGCAATTGCAGCGTCTAGCCTGTCCTCAGAACACTCCCCCACTCCAATTTAAGTATTTGGATCATTAGGTGTGGAGGAAGAATGCTAAAAGTCAAGAGAAAATGGAGGTAAGACATCCTATTTATAGGGGTTTGGTCTTAGTCTGATTGGATAGTAGAAGGATTGTGTCTGTTTGTACGAAACAAACAGAAATTATCCCATAGGGAAAAACATCACCAAAACTGGGCTGGCAAGGCAGGACTGGACACAAGACAGGATGACTTCAACACTAAGAACGTACTCACTCTATGCTATCCGAACCATGCCCAGGCCCATTTCCCGGATCGTTTGAGTGCTCTGAATCGGGCTCAGGCACAGTACAGTTGGCCGGCCCTGGCCCGGTTGGAAGAGATGTGGCAGAGCATGGTTCACTTGGGCTTTGGCGTGGTACGCTTGTAGTGTGAGTGCAAAGCACGCCTGGGCCCGAAACTGAAGACGAGACGTGACTTTAAGAGACTGTTTCATATGGATTTTTTTAAGCATCATTATTGTTTAATTAACACAAACTGTCATAGATTATGCAAACCCCTCACTGCACATCAGCTGCACCTTTAGAAAACCTCCTAATTCCTGTAGCACGAGGACTTTATGAGCGTCAAAAGTGGCTGATCTGCTCGACGAAATATTTGACTGTGTGTCACCACATCCCAAACGACTAAAACGATATAAAGAAATCTCCACTGTGCTGAGCAAGAGCGCTTACTTAACAGCGCATCATCGATGACGTAAGCGTACCTAGGCCCGTATGCAATGTGAGTGGGAGTAGGGACAAGCGTACTTCGGCCCGGTTCAAGGCAACTGTGCACAGTGTGGGTACGCCCTAAATGGAAGACAATGAACTGGCACAGGACAGCAGACAAAAGGGAGTTATAAGCAGAAAAAAATTAACAAACAAACAGGTGAACTAAAAAAACTAATAATGGGTTAACAAGGAGGGTGGGACCAGACAATAGACAGAAGGACATGACACAAAGAATCGATCCAAAGGGTGTCACGATCCTCCAAATTTTCAATTCGATTACATTTTCGATTCTAAAGTCACGGTTCGATTCGATTCTCGATTTTAAAAAGAAAAATTTGAAAGCACAAGCTATGCCATTTTGAGACTTTATGTAATATAATAATATCTGACCTTTGTTTGCAATGTACCACACACTACATTGTCAAATTTAAAATGTTTATTAACAATATAAAATACCAATAACTTATATCTTCAGTCAATTAGAAACTTATACAAAATATCCTGCCATCTAATTTCTTATTTGTAACTGCAGTTTTCTTCACAGATGATGACAGTCAAGTTCACAAAATATAGCAGTTTCAAGTTCTTGTGTAAAAGGAATATAAAAAGAGAACTGCTAAAATTATTGTAAAAATACTGTCAAAAATATTAGCTATTTACATTTCTATGGGCAGATATGTTTTTATAGATTCATGTTCTTCTTTAAGAAAATAAGAATGCCCAAATTATCTGAGGAGATGTCTTTGAGATGTCCCCAGCTGTTGAGAACACTCTTTCACTTGCCATTCTTTTTGCTTGAACAGCAAGATAACGTTTGGCAAGCTTGGACTAATTTGGGTACTGGTTCTCGTTATCTCTCCACCATTTCAGAGGATTTGAATCTACGAAAATTTTAACCATTTTGTATAGCTGAATCTAGTCTTTTACAACATCAGGCCATGGTTTGGTTTCTGATGATTCATCTAAAAAAAAAACAAAACAAAAAAAAAACGAACAGTTCACTGAGTGCTTTTCTCTTTGCTGGAGGGCTGCCTCTACTGGTTGCTACAGTGTCTGTATCCTCTGCAGGGTTTTTCAAGTTCTATCGACAGGTCTCCTGCGTCTCCAGTCGCCATGCTATCTTTTGGCTGTTTTTTGTAGCTGTTAGGTTGACTCGCAGCATTTCAACAAGCGTGTTTTTTTTTTTTTTTTTGACAAGCCAAGCTGACGTGACATGGGGTTGTGGCAGCATCGACGATTCTATTTTTTGATTTGATAATCGAGATTGAGCATGAATTTTAATCAATTTAGATTTAATCGAAATTGTGGCACCCTTACAAGCCTTGTGCTTACATAAAACAAGACTAGAACATGCAGCCAATGAGAGAACTCATTAACTGCGTGTTTACATGAGTCAACACTAAAGCACACAGCCACAATGTAAACACCGAGCCACATGCTTAGACAACAACAACATAAACTGAATGCAAGACATGAGTACACGATAAATAACTCTCATGCACTCACACATGCAATGTGCATGGTTCATCCCAGGGCCAACCGCAACCAAAACCAACTAGACTGAGACTCTGAGAATGAAACATCACTCTGCAAACAAAACAAATACAAACAGCCCGTCCCAAGCACGCTCAGACCAAAAACGCGCATGGCCCAAACGCAGCAGAGACGGCGCTCATGAAAAAAGACACAATGACAAAAAATGAGTGCTTGACCCGAGAAAAATCAAGCCGAGCACTTCACGAGTTCACACTTGCATTCGTTTAAGTATAAAGCATATTTGGCGTGCTGTCTGAGCTCGAGGAGACACCCCAACTCGAGTTATTTCCCTTATCAGGAAACAAAGAGAAGTTGGGATTCGAGCAAAGTATCTAGCCTGGCCTCAGAATGCTCCCCCCGGGAATGCAATGCAAGAGGTGAGGTGACGGATGGTGGAGGGATGCTAAAGTCGTGAGATGCTGCAGGTAAGACAGCTTTGGTATGTATAGGGGTTTGTTCAAGAACTGATTTGATAATGGGATAATTGTCAATGACGTATTCGATACTGAAACTTCTGGGGGGATGAGCAAATTGTACCAAAAAACACTAATCAGATCTTACAAGTTCATATGAATTAGCCACTAAATCAAAAAGCTTTAATCTCATTAAATCCATTTTTAACATAATTTTGCATTGTGGTAGAGTAGTGGCGCAGTGGGTATCGCTGTTACCTCTCAGCAAGAAGGTTGCTGGTTCGAGCCTCAGTTGGGTCATTTGGCATTTATGTATGGAGTTTGCATGTTCTCCCAGTGTTCATGGGTTTCCTTCGGGTGCTCCGGTTTCCCCCACAAGTCCAAAGACATGCGCAATAGGTGAATTGGGTGAGCTCATTTGTCCGTAGTGTATGTGTAAGAATGAGAGTGCATGGGTGTTTCCCAGCAATGTGTTGCGGCTGAAAAGGGCATTCGCTGTGTAAAACATAGGCTGGATAAGTTTGCGGTTCATTCTGCTGTGGCGACCCCTGATGAATAAGGAACTAAGCCAAAAAGAAAATGAATAAATGAATTTTGCGTAGTTTGTCAGTAAAGTACTTCTCTGTATAGTAAATGCTGCTCAATCTGAAAGCACATGCTGAAAATTTACTCGAGCTAGTTTTACTGTTAAAATGCACATGAAAATAACTTTAGATTAGTGTCAAAATGCACATGCAAATCATTGTAGATTAATCCCCAACTGTTTTAAAATTTGATTATTGACTCAGGCATCATTAATGGGGATGTGTGGGACTGGAAATGGTGCAGCATGAATGTCAGGAACATCAGAGTCTTGTCAGTAAACCCCAAAGTTGTTTGTTATGCTTTAATTATCACCTTGTCTATATGTTGATTTTTTTTGTACATGCAATTTGATGTTATTTTACAGCCACACGGCACAGCTACTGGAGATAGAAAAGAAAGGAACTGCTGAGAGAGAGCGAGAGAGGATGTGGCTATTGAGAATACAGACAGATAAAGAACAACTGCAGCTGGAAAGATCACAGCTTTGCAAAAGGTGCAGATAAGATTTGTAGACCTTAAATGTTTCGTAGTTGTTTCATGACATCACCCATTTCTTTCACAAATTGCAATGTTGAACTTGATTAAATACATAATTCAATAAGTGACTTCCACCCAAGTCAAGCCGAGAAGCTGAGCCAAGAAACAGCTAAAATGTTTTATTTTATTAACAGTGACTGTCTAACACTCTAAATTCTGTATACTACACTGTAAAACAAAAACCTAATTTTACAGAAAATATCTTTTTTTAACAGCATTTTTTTGTCATTTCAAAATATATTCATAACTTAGTAAAATGGCAAACAATCTCTCTAAATTAACAGTTTGACTTTCATTTTAGGTACTTTTATCAAAAATACAAATTACTTAAATTTTTGTTTTTTATACAGAGAAACTACGGCGAAGCGGTGGCGCAGTAGGTAGTGCTGTCGCCTCACAGCAAGAAGTTCGCTGGTTCGATCCTCGGCTCAGTTGGCGTTTCTGTGTGGAGTTTGCATGTTCTCCCTGCGCTCGCGTGGGTTTCTTCTGGGTGCTCCAGTTTCCCCCACAGTCCAAGGACATGCGGTACAGGTGAATTGGGTATGCTAAATTGTCCATAGTGTATAAGTGTGTGTGTGTGAATGTGTGTGTAGATGTTTCCCAGAGATGGGTTGCGGCTGGAAGGGCATCTGCTGCGTAAAAATGTGCTGGATAAACTGGCGGTTCATTCTGATTAATAAAGGGACTAAGCCGACAAGAAAATGAATGAATGAATGAATGAATGAATGAATGAATGACAGAGAAATTACAGTAATATTTATGTAGTATTTTTGTTACTTTAAATTATATTCAAAAGTCTGTAAAAATTACAAACAATATCTGTAAATTAACAGCATGACTGTAATTTTATGCACTATATAATTAATGACAAGTTATAGCAATTTTCCTGTTTTATACAATAAAATTGCCGTATTATTTAGTGTTTTTTCCTGTTTTTTTAAGTACATTTGAAATTCTGTAAAATTAAAGTAATAAATTGTAATTACTTGCTCTGTACCAAAAAAAAAAACGTAA